AAAAAATATTAAAACTTTAAAATGAAAATAAAATACAAAATATAAACTAAAATATTATAGTATGGAATTTTCTATTCTAGTATTTAATAGTATATTAATGATACTGAATGAAATAACACTGTTTGTGGGATTCCTTAATTTTCTAGCAATAAAATTTAATATAATAAATGAACATAAATGAAATCTGAGAAATCTGAGACATTTATCTAATAAAAACTATATAAACATATATTTTTTTAAATAAATAAATTTAAAAATGCACACAACAAAATTACTAAAACTTTAATTATAATTAAAATGAAATTAAAATAAAACTTTTCGTTTAGTTTAAGTTGAAGTACTAATATAAATAAAACTAAATAAAATAAAACTAAAAACTATATATACATTTTTTTAACTTAAAAAGACACAAAATTATTAAAATTTGAAAATGAAAATGAAAACAAAAAACGTATTCAAAATATTAACTAAAAAATTATAGTACATAATTTTAAAACTATATACTATTAGAGTATTTAATAGTAGATTAATGATACAAAAAAAAACATTGTTTGTAGGATTTCTTAAAGGTGACCTATTATGTCCCTCTTTACAAGATGTAAAATAAGTCTCTGATGTCCCCAGAGTGTGTGTGTGAAGTTTTAGCTCAAAATACCCCACAGATCAATTTTTTATAGCTTGTTGAAAACGCGCCGTTTTTGTGTTTGTCCCTTTAAATGCAAATGAGCTGGTGCTCCGCCTCCCTTTTCAGAAGAGGGCGGAGCTTCAAGAGCTCATGCTGTGGTAAAACAGGACAATATCACGCAATCTGACTGTACTGTGCAGCAAATGTACGTTTATGAATTACACAGACAGGGAGATAGCGGGGACATAGCTGGTCTCATGGTGCCTCTGCGTGCTATCACATTATGAGCTCGACAAATTCAAGCGGTCGACTTCACATTGCTTCCAAATGCAATTTTTAACTACAACATTCCTATTTACGATCATTCTGGAAGCACGTGAAGGCAGCATCAGTGAAAACAGGCAGAGACGATGGTAGCTTTAGCAACATTAGCCTTACAGAGAGCCAAGAAGCTCTTTTGGAAAACAAAATATGACGCGTGATGCTTACTTTG